CCAGCTGCCGCCAGGTACAGCTGACCTTCCTCACCTCTCTTAGACAGATATTCTTTCAGATCACTATCCATGGCTAACAATTTTTTGGCTAGTTGGACACCCGTAGGGGCCTTGAGAGCGGAAATGTACTGATCCAGGTTGTCCCTGAGGCTTGGCTTGTCTTTAATATTTTCTGTTACATGATAAGAATCTGCAAACAGCTTTACTTCATCAAAACAAGCATGATGGGCATTAAGGGCCCCTTTACTACCGTCAAAGATGTCCACCTGGGATTCGCAATCGAAACCTGGTATAGCTGATTTGGTTGCTTCATTCATCATCTTCCACGCATCCTCGTTCTCATTACCCCATGACAATGTTGCCATTAGGTCATTAACCATCCCCAGAGACGTTTCTATTGAAACTCTGAGCCCGTATTGGCTCATACTGGCTCCCTTTGCATGTGCAAAATCTGAGCTAGTTATAGAGAGGATAGAAGCGTTGTGCAAAGTAACCAAGCCAGGTGGCGCTATAGAGATATGGACAACATATTTAACATCCTTTTCTAACTTTGGCACCGTCGACTTTTTAAACAACGTCACCTTGTGTTTCGCATCATCTTTTTTTTTCGCCCGCTCACTAGTGTCATGCTCTTTTTTCATTGCCTCACAAAGTTTCTTCTGCATCTCTTTGGAAGTAACAGTTTCAAATTCTACTGTCCACCCTTTTTTCCTAAATGCTGCACAGACAATAGGAAGGTTTGCCACTTGATCGGTCATCTCACCCCCAGGCTTTATGATGTTTCGTGCAAATTCACATGCCCTCTGTACAAACGAAGATTTAGGATTAAGAGTCTTATAGATATAGCGTTGCATGAGTGGTATGGCGACCTTCGGCTTGATGCCGTCGTGCTTATTCGCATTACTAGCAATTAAGCCTGCGAAATCTTCTGAATTGTAGTTCGTGCACCTTTTGGAGACAAGAGGTTTGGAAACACAACTATGTGTCCTGCGCGCAGTAAGATAAGTGACCTTCCAGCTTGAATCGGACTGCCGAAGTATTCTCACTTTCGCGCAGGCTTTGTCTCCACATGCGCATTGAAAAACAATGTTCTGCAAATCAAATTTTTCGCGACATGCGATCACATGAAGCTTCTCGAACATGCCCTTAGCGGCAATAGCAGCGCTTACTCTCGAAGAGAAGGTGTCTCCCTTTTCGAAATCTTGTAGCGCGTGCAGCTCCGTCAACACGGGAGTCTCGTTGGCCTCTAAATCTAAGGAGGCCTTGGCCTTTTTCAATCTCACCTCGCCTTGTCGCTTTCTCTTTTCCTTCTTGTCATCCTCATATGACTGCCTAAGCCTCGCGACTTGGTCGTTCCTCTGCAGTTCTATTGAGCCGAAGGTCAAAGGAGGCACTGGCACCTCAGCCATGTGCCCCCACGCCGGCCCGGGGGGCTTGCAACGCGGATCACGACGACCCGGCTGAACTAGCTGAGTTAGGACCTCTGCGGGATATTGGTACCAGGAGCCCAAAAAGTTAGGACCACTACGAGTCAAAAGAATCTAAGGTTAGGACCGTTATGGGTGTTTTTGGCCTGGGTTAGGACCGTCCTGCATATATACCTCTTAGGTTAGGACCATCGTGCACCTTTTGACTAAGGGGGGGGATAATAGCGGGTTTTTCTCTTTTAAATCTTAACTCTAGTTATTCGTGATATATATTCCCCACCCTCGACCATCGCTTCCTCGCACCCATGCGCCCCGAGTTGAATCGGTCAAAAACGCGACTGGTGCGCCCACCCCCACCCCTCATCATACCTTTCACCACATCCCTCCCTCATAGGTCTGAACTCCTACGACTCTACGCTGAACAGAATTTTCTTTTCGGGCTACGACGGCGAGGACGTCGACCTGTTCCGCGTCGCATGCGAGGCCCAGGTCAAGGCCGAACTCCAAGCAGGCCGAGCTGTAGCGCCCGTTGACGCGCTCTACATGGTCAACCACTCGGAGCGTGTCTCCTGTTTAATCCTCTACATGCAGACGGCAACGTGCCTCGATAACCCATCCCGGATGTATGCCCCCACCGGCATCAAAAAAAATCTTGACTCCATTCAGTCATATCTACGGTCGGGCCAGCGTCCCCCTTTTTTTTACACTTTTTGACTTTGAGATTTTGGAACATGACACTCAAATCGTAGGTTGCGGGAAGGCAAGGACAGCCAAAGGGCTACGGAATTGGGCAATTGGGGTTTTTGGAACAAAACTGATACTGCTTACCGTCGCCTGAATCAGTCGTACAAGGATTTTGGGTTGCGTTTCCAGAAAGAGATTACCTTGTCAAATGCTGAAGGCCGTGCGGAGCTTTACGCTCGAGTGGGCCACACGAAGACCGACCCCATTCCAGCAGCTATCTTTGACCACATGAAA